AATAAATAGCAACAACAACAAGGAGAAATCTCACTTACATTATTAGTATCTGATATACATGTATTGTTGAAGATTTTTCAATAGAGAGCTCCCTTTTCCTTGTAGTTATTATGTTCAGCTTCAAGATCTGCAAGCATTATTCTTTAGTACATATAATACTTGGCCTTCCCTGGAGGTCAACACTTGAATTTGTGTCTGAGAAAAAAGTATCAAGTTATGTGAACCTCAACCAAAAGAGATTTTAATAATAATGTAGTCTCTAAAGACAGGATATTTTAGAGAAACTTTTCAATCTCGAATAATTTTTATAAGAACTTCACTTTTAATCATTTCTTATGCACTCCAGGGCCTTCTAAATTATTTTTTTTATCTTGTTGTAGTCAGTAACTCCTACAACTGACATCTCAGACAAGGAATGTGTAATGGCACTTTATGACTACGAGGAAAAGACAGCAAGAGAGGTCTCCATGAAGAAGGGAGACATTCTTACTCTACTGAATGCTAGCAACAAGGTGAGTCTACCAGKSATCATGCAAAGRCTTGAATAATKTTTTACTACWTGTACATGTACATTGAGGATTTTCATTGTRCAGTGTCACAAATTTACTTWTTTTCAAMCCAACTGTTGACTATAATGAACTCWGAATTCTGTTCAGTGATTGRACTTTGGGTTGATTTTATAATTCAAAGTCACAGCTGAGAAAAATACAACCATCCAAGAAAAGTTGTTTTTCTTATTTGTGGTACATTTCRGCATAGGCATGGATATTAAAAAATCAAAAAATAAATAAAATTAGACCACTTGGTTTGAATGATAACTATTAGGTGGATTATTACCTTGTTGTCCACTTGACCTTGTGTTCCAGTTGTTAAAATACATGTAGACATCCACAGACAAAGCCAGTCAGTTGTACAAGCAGCCAACATGGCTCTTGTTGATATAAGTAGAATGATGTAACCCAACAACTACAATACAAACCAAAATTAAGTAGACAGGACAAGGAAGATCAACTTGCTAAAAATTCATAATATCTATTTATTGTCTTTCAGGATTGGTGGAAAGTGGAGACTAACGACCGTCAAGGATTTGTCCCAGCTGCGTATGTTAAGAGAATTGACTCCCATAAGGCTTCACAAGAACTTCTCTCTAAAGCCCCTGAGATTGACTCAGTTGTGCAGCAACAACAGGCTCTTGACGACAAGTAAGATAAACACAACTTCTGTCTTTTTGATGGGAAAGTATTTCTAAGCCCATGATTTTTCAAAGTAATGCTACTTTACATTTCTATGTACTGTAAGAGGACTTGGTATAAATGTTCAAAAACTTGATCACTTTCATACGTTGACTGTAACTGTGATCTTTGTCACTACCAGACAAGGATGGCATGTTGTTTATTGTACAGTCCTACAAAATGCACAGTTTAACATGCAACATATATTTTTTTACGCTGGGAGCTGTATTTTTGATGAAGCTTATGCTTATTAATCATTTTAAGGTATGATGAACTGATGAGAAAAGGTGAAGAAAGAAAACAAAAACTTGAAGATTCAATCCATCGTTATACCTTACTCCGTGAGGCTCATGAACTTGAGTCATGGATCAATGACAAGGTAAGCTTAATATACAACCGTGAATTCTTGTTTTCTGCTATTGAAAGTAGTATGGAAACTGTGCAATGATTATTTGTTGAGAGTCTACCAATATTTCTATCAGTCAATCACCACAGTCAGAGCAAATCTTGTGTATTGAGTGAGATGTACTGTACTGTACATTCCTTGATTTTTGTATTGCTCGTCTTCTTGTTATTTCACCTTATCACATCTTTGTGCTAACAGTAGTGTAGTACCAATGGTCTAAATATGAATAAGTAGAAATTCATCCTACTTGTAGATTAAAAAAACAACTTTCTCTTTGGTCCTGACATAGTGCCTTGTGTTCTTTTTCCTACAGGAGGCAATAGTCACCAGCGAAGAAGTCGGCAAAGACTACGAACATGTTGAAGCCATGCAGAAGAAGTTTGACGACTTCCAGAAAGATTTAACAGCAAATGAAGTACGCATTAAGGAACTGACTGTCTTGGCTGAGAGGCTCAAGGAGGAGCACTACACTGAGTATGAAATGATCCAGGAGATGATTGAGAAACTGACTCAGAAATGGAAAGATCTCAATCACATGGCTGAGCAGCGCAAGGATAATTTGGACAGTGCACAAGAGATTCAGAAATTCCACAGGTTAGTAATGAAATATTGTATATTGTATATTTATGTAGCCTCCGTAGCAGACGTTCCAAGGAGAGAATCGAACCACTTGGAAAATCTGCTACGGAGGCTAATATTTATGAACATTTGCAAGGAATAAGACAGTCATATATAGTGACATTGTCACATTTATACCTAGTTTAGCTGAGCTGTTTTATTTCACACTTATTCCTAGTGAACATTGATGTTTATTTACAATGTATTTATCAAAGGAATGTCTTAAGCATTGAGATGTAAATTATTGATAAATTTGATACTATTCTATAGGGACGCTGATGACACCAAAGCCTGGATTTCTGAGAAAGACACAGCTCTCTCCTCATCTGACTATGGCAGGGATTTGGCTAGTGTACAGGCATTGCAACGTAAACACGATGTCCTAGAAAGAGACCTTGCTGCTCTTGAAGAAAAGGTATTCCGTTCACCTTTTTAGTGATTTGTATCTAATGACATTGCAATTTTTGTTAGGGAGACCATCCAACATTTCTGCATATCATGCAAGTGAAACATGGATAATTTATTTATCTTTCATGGTGTTATTCAGGTCCGCCAACTGAACATTGAGGCTGCTCGTCTTACCTCAACTCATCCAAGCAAGTCTCATGATATCGAGTCCAAGAGATATGAACTAGAAGAAGCTTGGGCCAATCTGAAAGACCAGGTAAGAATGATAACATCATATCACATGATGAATTAGGCAGATTAGTACGTTAAGTTTTGTGTTCTATTATCTAATTATTGCAATTTTGTGCAGTTTCATACAAGTGTCTCACATATAATAAATGGAGTCCAGTATTTTTTAAATGTTCTCTAATAACTACCATGACTTTATTTGTATATTGAGCATAATAATTACATTGTCAATGAGATCTTCTGGGATCAACTTTATCGTATCTTCGTTCACAGGCTGCAGCAAGAAAGGGAAAACTACTAGATTCATATGACTATCAGCGTTTCCTCAACGAATACAGGGATCTTATCTCATGGATCAATGGTATCAAACAGCTTGTCTCTTCTGATGAGCTCGCCAAGGATGTCGCTAGTGCCGAGGCTTTGATTGACAGRCATCAGGTAAGGAATTGGTGCATTAATCTAGTTATTGACTTATTTTTGTACGACTCAATCTAGTAAGTCCTATAGTGATGATATAATTTTTCTGTATAGGAATATCGTGCAGAGATTGATGCCCGTGATAGCACCTTCCAAGCCTATGATGAATTTGGAAGAGAATTGCTGGAGAAAGAGCATTACGCCAGCCCAGACATACAAGAAAAGCTTGAAAAACTAGCAGAAGAACGGGACGAGCTTGAAAGGTAAATGAGTGGAGATATTTAACAGAGGAGCTTGTTTCTTTGTCTCCTAAAATCTCCTTTGGGATAAGAACGTGACATGATACTCCGTGAGTTTTTTTTAATAAATTCTTATTATATTTTTATGTTAAGTTTATTTTTTTTAATCCTTTAGAGCCTGGTTGGCAAGAAAACAGAGACTTGATGAGTGCCTTGAACTCCAGGTAAGTCCGATTATTATGATACTGTTATGATTAATTATTATTTATTATAATGATTTAAATCTTGGCTTCGCAATTTATAAAGAATTGCCAACATTAACATTACTTAACGTCATTCTTTAGCTGTTCAACCGATCAGCAGAGCAGCTGGAAGCCTGGATGGCAACAAGAGAAGAAATTATCGAAAAAGAAGAAGATACTGAAGGAGAAGGAGCTGAAGCCTTGATCAAGAAGCACGAAGACTTTACTCGAGCTCTAAAAATCCAAGAAGAGAAGGTTGCAAACCTGAAAGCAAATGCSGATAGGTTGATTGAAGCTAATCACTAYGATTCGCCAGCCATTGCTGAAAGGATATCTGCTGTTCTAGCAAGGTACAGTTTATAAACGAATGTTTAAAATAAATTATGAAAATGAGACTTCTAAAATTTAAGGCAATTTTGACTTGTAGTTTGTGTACGAAATTTCGACTTGGAAATAAGTAGGTAAATGAATATAAAGTTTGCGGCGCAACTGGAAAATTAAAAAAAAAACATTAAGATTTTGAAATCACATCTGTCACTGGTCTTCCGTCCAGTTTCAGTCCTTTCTTCATAAAACAATCAAAGAAGGATGCGSCCTGTTTATAATCTAAACTATCGACTCGTTTTTTAAGGTGGGCAACCCTCAAGCAAGCCCTTGTTGAGCGTCGATCTAAACTAGGAGAATCGAAGACAATCCAGCAGTTTAGCCGTGATGCCGAGGACATTGAAGCGTGGATAAGTGAGAAACTGCAGACGGTTCTGGACGAGTCCTACAAGGACCCAACTAATCTACAATCAAAGTTCCAGAAGCATCAGGCGTTTGAGGCAGAGATCGAAGCAAACAAGGAGAGAGTCCTGGAGACRACTAACCTGGGAGAAGGTGAGGGAGGATTAAAGCACCCTAGACTGATTTCATAAGATTTTTCAAAAATTCTCGTTCAAACTTTTGTCTTAAGAAGTTTATCAGATATAGATTCACAAGCAAATTTCTAGTGAACAAATCGCAAGGAAACAGTCAATCTCAAACGCTTATCGACCTAACCAAATACGACAAGCAAGAAGCTCAATTGAAAAGTATAAGGCCTGCTATGATTGGTTTGAAATCTGCTAATCTATATAACGTGTAATTTAATTGGAACTCGCCTTGTTAGATTTGTGGATGATTTCTTAGTATACGACTGAGTCAGATTCGTGAGCGGCAAAATATTCAACGGGTAAAAACTGGGACCAACTTTTGGAATCAGTCTGTGGAAAACTTATATCTTCATTGCAATACTACCCCACCCCACCCCACCTGCGTTAGATAACAGATATTTTTGCTTYCAAAGGTTTGATCGAGCAAAAGAAATGTGCCGGAAGTGAAGAAATCGTTCGTGAACGAATCACTAAACTAGAGCAGTCCTGGGAACAGCTGGTCATCAAGTCCCAGAAAAAGACCCAACATCTCAARGAAGCCAACCAACAGCAGCAATTCAACAACAACATCAAAGACCTKGATTTCTGGYTAGGCGAGGTGGAGAATTCCTTGTCATCCGATGACTATGGTCGTGATCTRGCCAGCGTGCAGAACTTGATTAAAAAGCACCAGCTTGTCGAAGCAGACATCGCAGCGCACGAGGACCGMATMACTCAACTTGARGCCCAGACTCAACACTTCGCTGAAGAAGGTCATTTTGATGCTGACGCTTTGCAAGAGAAATCCCAAGGAATCACTGAGCGTTACGAGAAGGTTAAAGACATGGCCTCCAACAGAAAAGACAAACTCCAGGAATCTAATGATCTGCACCAGTTCTACCGCAATGTTGACGACGAGGAGTCCTGGATCAAGGAGAAGAAGTTGCTTACAAGCTCTGAGGACTACGGGAAAGATCTSAGTGGTGTAGAGAAYTTGAGAAAGAAGCATCTTCGTCTGGAAGCTGAGATCTCTAACCACAAACCCAGAGTGGTTGCTGTGATCGACTGCGGTGAAAAGTTTGTAGAAGAGGGACATAGCAATTCCGATGAGATCAAAGCACGTGTTGTCGGGCTGCAAGAAAAGTGGGACGAACTGGAATCACTCGCTAAAGAAAGGCAACACAAGCTAGACGATTCTCTGGCTTACCAACAATTCAGTGCTAACGTTGACGAAGAGGTTTCCTGGATCAACGAGAAGAATACCTTGGTTGGTAGTGATGATTAYGGCGACACGCTAGCCGCTGTGCAGGGACTGCTCAAAAAGCACGAAGCCTTTGAGACTGATCTTGAAGTGCAYAGAGAGCGGGTAGCGGACATCGAGAGCGCTGGYAACAAACTCATTGAAGATGGGAACCACCAATCAGAACTTATCGAACACAGGATATCYTCAACAAAGAACAAGCTTGCAGAGTTGGAGCGCATGGCRTCGTATCGCAAGACCAAATTGAATGACAACTCRGCATTCTTGCAGTTTAACTGGAAGGCTGATGTTGTGGAATCATGGATTGGCGACAAGGAAGGCATTGCCAATTCCGAAGACATTGGTCGCGACTTGTCATCTGTGCAGACTCTTATCACAAAGCAGGAGACCTTTGAAGCTGGTCTGAATGCATTTGAAAACGAAGGCATTGCACGTGTKACAGCTCTGAAGGACGAGTTGGTYAGGTCTCAGCATGAGCAATCACCTGCCATCATCAAGCGCCATGATGATCTTATCAAGAGGTGGCAAGAGCTATTGGATGCTTCCCTGGCTCGCAAGGAACGACTCATCCAGTCACAAGAGCAGTACAAGAAGGTCGAAGATCTGTTCCTTCTTTTCGCAAAGAAAGCTTCTGCTTTCAACAGCTGGTTTGAGAATGCTGAAGAGGATCTCACCGACCCTGTCCGCTGTAACTCTGTAGAGGAAATAAGCGCACTCCAAGAAGCGCATGCACAGTTCAGACTGACCCTTGACCAAGCCGAGGAGGACATGTACGCTTTGAGGAAACTGGACCGACAAATAAAGAGCTACAAAGTCCAAGTTAACCCGTAAGTTGTCTTATTCTCTCTTATTGTTTACGTATTCTTCTGGGTTTTTTTTCGTATTCTTGTTAGTCTTCTTGTCTCGCTTGCTCTTGTTCTTTTTTCTTGTTCTCCTTTCTCGTTTTCGTTGTTTTTCTTGTTCTTGTCCCYGTTCTGCTTGTCCTTGTCTTGTTGTTTGTTCTTAGTCTGCATGTACTTTTTATTCTTCTTCTTGTTCTTGTCCTTCTCATTCATTCTCTTTCGTTGMGACTAATTWCCTTTGTCCTGTAGGTACACATGGTTCACTATGGAAGCCCTCGAAGACACCTGGGATAATCTCCAGAAAATCATCGAGGAGCGCGAAGAGGATCTCCGCAARGAGGCACAGCGTCAAGAATACAACGACGGSCTGCGCCAAGAGTTTGCGCAACATGCTAACGCCTTCCATGCCTGGCTTACGGAAACTAGGGCGATCATGGTAGAAGGACAAGGCGACCTTGAAGACCAGTTAGCAGAAATCAAAAAGAAAGACGCCGAGATAGCTGACAGTAAAGCYGACTTGGAAGTCATTGAAGGTCTTGGCTTCCAAATGGAAGAAGCACTTATCCTTGATAACAGGTATACTGAGCATAGCACGGTGGGACTTGCTCAACAGTGGGACCAACTCGACCAACTTGCCATGCGTATGAAACACAATCTCGAGCAGCAGATCCAGGCTCGTAAGACTACAGGTGTGTCAGAGGAAAGTCTCAAAGAGTTCACCATCATGTTCAAGCACTTCGACAAAGACAAGACCGGATATCTGGAYTATCAGGAATTCAAGTCTTGYTTGCGTTCATTGGGTTACGACCTGCCTGTTGTCGAAGAAGGAGAATCGGATCCAGAGTTTGACGCCATCATAGCTCGTGTTGATCCTAAYGGGTAAGCTTAAAYCTCACATTAACCACGTGTGTGCCACACCCATGAAAGKTGTCATAATTGCAAGTTCAATTTTATTGGGGTGTTCGTATTATACAGTCACTTCTCGRTATAAGAAACACCTTTGGAACCATAATAACTGTCTACAGTAGTAACTTTCCTCTAAAAAGGAAGATGTATTTTTAATAATTTCTTGGTTGAGGGGATTGTATCCGGAATATCTTGTTGTTCGTAATATTGGGGTGTTCTCAACACGAGAATTGACTGTTGGTGTGTTGCCATGGTATTTTCTACAGTTGTCTCTGTTTCATAACGTTGTTTTTGTATTTCAATAGCGACGGTGTTGTCTCCATGGGYGAGTACATGGCTTTCATGATTAGCCGTGAGACAGAAAACGTTGGCTCCAGTCARGAGGTTGARAATGCCTTCATGGCACTAACTGAAGGAGGCAAGAAGAAATACGTCACTGAATCCGACCTCTATCAGGTAAGAGCCCTCWTATCGCGACCATTTTGGAAGCTGTTGTCTGACTGTATTGATCCTGCTTCGTATTGTGTCAATGTCCGTACCTTACCTTATGTTAATGTGATATTTCGAGCTGCCAAATCAAACGTCTTTCTCACGTGATGTTTCTTTTTATCATCCCCAGTCTCTCACCAAGGAACAGGCCGAGTATTGCATCGAGAACATGCGTCCRTATGTTGACGAGAAAGGCCGTGAGATACCTGGTGCCTACGATTACAAGTCATTCTGTGGTAAACTCTTTACTAACTAAAACCACTACAAAAGAGCTTGGTGATAKACAACTTACAAAGAGGAAAACAAAAGGAAATTTTAGTTTTATTTGTCAAAATCAAAATTGTGGTAATCTGTTTTCGGTCATTCCCRTTGTTATGACGACCTTGGTCTTGGGTATTTTGAGTTGTTGAGTGTTTTTGTTTTAATATGTTGGTAGAGGTAACATTACAATGTACATTTACTGTAAGAAGCATAATTGCTTTAATTTGATGGCAGCGAAAACCATAATATTCTATTGTTGGTAAATCTTATCTCTTATCTTTATTTGTATTTTTCCGTTTAGTTGTATTCGCATTTTGATTATCACAAATAAAAACTAAGCAAACACACTTGGTGTATTGTTGAATTCTTAGAAAAGTATGGGTTCGTCCTTTTAGTGAGTACAGTCTGAGAGTGAAGACTTTCACATCGACGATCACAATAATCCAGTTTCGAATTCTCCAATGCTCTGTGTTAGCCTCATTTGTGCGCAAAATATTCCTAATTGTGAGAATGAAAGTGTGAGATTTCAAATCAATTCCATTGTCTTTCTTTTCAAATTCCATGCGTTTTCTCGGGCTATCAATACAACAAAAGAATATGTTACTTGATTTTGAGGCTAACACAGCAAACCAGAACTCGAAATCGGAGTATTCCTTCCAGAGACTTTCAGTAGTTTCCAATCATTGAATTTCAGGGGTTTTGAAGAAATGAAAGCAAGCATACACACCCAACCTTAGAAAATCTGATTTTTATCTGCAATTTACTCAGAACATCACCTTATATGGATCCGGAAATGTCATCAATGCATTCTGATTTTTAATATTTTAAAGAGTTTTGAAAAGATCTATTTAATCCGTGAAAATGTATTAAGTCAAAATTTCGCAAATTTGTGCTAAATCTGCTACAGAACCTTCTTTTAAATACCATTTACTAATTAAATTGCGCCAAAATAATACAAAGAGGCTAATAAAATGTTTTCACTCTACGTAGTAATTAGTATTCCACGGTTATATAGTTTGTACTGTATTATTCCTCTATGAATTTTCGATATTACAAGTGGAGTGAAATCATATTTTAATATGTTAAACCCTTTTAATATGTTAAAACTATTAAATAAGTGGATGTATAAATAAACCATGTGCAACTGAAAAGGAAAGCATGCGTAGAACACTCGATTCCGAAATATCATATGACGGGGATTCCCCTCATTTAGTATTCGTTTCGTTTGCCACCGGTATTTTAAAAGGTGGTGTCTCACTGTAGTCTCTTTGAATTGAATCCTAGCGGCGGACAAAACTAGTGCAGTTAAGACCATGGACAYTGCAAAGCTCTCTGGTGATGTCGATTTGAATGACTTCTTTCGATCAATGAGTGAAATTGACCAAGAAGAAAGGGATTGGAATCACCATGTAAACTTCATCCTTTCGAAGATTCACCTTCTCTCGGAATTGACCGAACAGGATCAACACAATCCCATCAAATTCCGTGTGTTTGGGAGTTCAGTAGAGGACCTAAAGTGCAGCATGCCCAATGACATCGGAGATATCGACATTATGGTGTATCCCRTTGCAGAGGAWACAATAATCGACGATTCTATCATTGAATACGTCGAAGATTTAGACCCAATATACATTCGACTTCGTGGCAAAKATCATCCAGTATTACAGCATTGTTTGGATGGAAATTCGGACTTTGTCGCGACCTCGTCTCTCAAGGGTTTACATCCTAAGTTGTTCGGCGAGAGGTTGGTTTTAARTGCAATTCCAAATTTATTCAAAATGTTTGACAGCTTGGACCCAGGTAGTATGTCCGCTGGAGTACTTAACAATCCTAGTGGTCCCGCTTGCCAGATCGCTTTGAAGCATTCATTTGGAAGCATCACTGAGCAAGTTCAAGATCAAGATTTCGACGGGTTCACTAAAACTGATGATTTCAGAAGTTTTCTAGATTGGCTAGCTGTATCTTTCAATCCTTCACGAGTCTTCACCGAGGAGCACTCGGCAACCATTGATGAGTTTCTGAAATTAGCACAAGAGAAATTCCAAACGTTCAAGGAAAGCCCAGACGTTGAAAAGTTTTTTGATATGTTGRATGAATTGATGTCTTCAAAAGAGCTTTATGAATTGAAACAAAAGGTCCAAGGTATCGACCAGAGGGTAGCTAMATCTAATGAGYATGAGGGTAATGCAGCCAGTGGACACGCCTTACCCAACGATCCGAGAAATGGGTCAGCTAAAGTTGTCAGCACTGTTGAAAAAGTCACAGACGACATCAATACAAAATTGACGTTGCCAACATTCTCTCAAAATCTTGAAGGAGCAAGCGACGAGAGTAAGAACAATTGCAAGACGGAAACTTCACAAGGTCCTCCGGAAGAGCCAACGACTTTGTCTGACAACAAAAGTACGACAGAAGTTGTGAAAAAATGGCTTATGCAACAACTTCTGGATACCATCTTTTGCGAAAGTGCTTCCATCTCAAGTAATACAAAGGAGAAAGTAAAGAAAAACAGTGAGTGGATCGAAAGTGGTATTGATTTAGTGCCAGCCCTCAAAGCAAAAGGATGGCCCAGAGCGGCAAGTTCGTGGCCTACACGACTTGGTCGGGCGTGGCCAAGTCAAGACATCATATCAAAGATTCTAGATGGTGGTTTTCATATTGTTGTCAAAACGCCTCGAGACGCAGACGAAAAAGAACAGTTGTTCCGTGTGTCGTTCTCTTGTGCAGAACTCATCTTGAGTGGTGAACTGAATGATATACAAAGAGAATGCTACCGATGTCTGAAGATTTTGCATCGTTTTGTTGCCAAACAACAGCAATATGATGTAACCTCCTCGTACCTCCTCAAGAATATTCTGTTTTGGACTCTTGAGGAAACWGAAGTGGAMTTTTGGAGYGAGAGCAACCGTGCTGCTTGCGTTCTAATGCTTGTGGAAAGATTATACAAATCTCTGGAATCCAAGCATCTTCCACATTACTTTGTACCAGAGTACAATCTTCTTGAAGAAGCAGCTCGTTACTACCCTGAAGAAGTTGAGCACCTTGCTGGGGAATTGAGGAAGATTTACGAGAACCCAAGTGCCTACTCCAAAGCTGAGATGATGCCAAAGATTAGTAAGRAGGACCCATTGGTTGAGGCCCCTTTGGATGGACGACTTTGCCCATATCCACAAAGGAAAGCAGATKCAGAGATTGAAAACRAGCAATCAGTGGAAGCAACATCKTCAAATGACAATACTGCATCTGCTGGAGCAAGTTCCAAGTTATTTCTTAAGTATGCAGATTTTCTCGCGATCTACAAGGAGATCTGCAGAGAGTTGATTCATCTGGTGCTAGAAGAAAGCAATTCCCACCAAACAGATGATCCTACAGTGGCGACCATTGTTGACAACTTAAGAAAAGTTGCCAGCAAATTGGAAAACCCAGAGTCTGAGTTGATGACCATTCTTAATCACAACATTGAAGGAGTGTACTCTTCTCACATTGTTTATCCTGGGAATTCCACAAGACAAAGGATTCTTGAAACACTGAAAGAAGAGAGTAAGATGTTTGCTTWCATTGTAGACCAAGAGGATTTATTGGAAGTAGGGAAGGAAGACCTCATTATCAAAAGAATCATGAATTCTGGCAACTTTGATAAGCATTCACTTTTTTCAAACTACTGGRAGCTCTTGAAGCAAACTTTTAGCATGTTCGAATCACCACCTTTGTTGGCACCAAAAGATGGTGATGACATTCCTCTCGATTGAAATAGGTAGGAAAGGACAGGCCCAAAACACATTTGCATAGGAACTGCTGAGTTTTCTTCAGAACGTTTTGATCTTTTGATGATATGCATAAGGAGGATGTAGTCCACAGAATTCTTTACAAGAGATGCAAAATTGGAGTACAAAAAAGTTAATTCATGAAACATGACAGTGGTGAACATAAAGCATATATAACCTCTCCTAATATAATAACAATTGTGTAATGAACTAAATTGTAACACACTGTGCCATAGTAAGGGCCCAAGGGTCTCTCTCACAGAGTAGCTTCTGTTTTTGTCCATTTTGTCCTTCCCTTTATTTGGAGGGACAGGAATCCCAACAAAGAATAGGCTGCAAAGGAGACCATAGAAAAGTTGGATAGATCTATATAACTATGGCAGACCAGGTTTAAAAGGCAAATACTGCTATCATATACTTCAGTGTAGGAAATCCATACAAAAACCTCACTCAATCTCATGGTTAACTTCATAGGACATTGTAAAGTGGGCTAGCACTGAGGTCCTGTTTGTGTAGAGAATTATCCTCTATGTAAGGATTYATAAGAATACTGAATTGCATTATTTGACCTTTTTACAAACTGGATACTGATTAGTCAATAACTAAAGTGATAACATACAAACACTTTAATTCTATATACATTGTACATATATCATTTAATRGCATTATTACACATTTACATTGTATGCCATAAAAATAAACAAAATGAGTTGTTTCAGTAACTTTACATTTCATGTGTTGATGACACCTCACCTAACAAAATGTTTTTTCTTTTTGCTGTGGTAAATTAAAACCTAAACAACACTCCAGCTTTCTACAATTCCCTAAAACATATCATCACTACAGAATTTAATTTGATTTCTATGATATTTAGATTTGAATTGAAGAAAGTGAAAACTCTTTAACACATAGTAAAATATAAAAAAAGATGTGTGTAATTATTACTGCACAAGTATTTAAAAACCCCTTCACCATCTTCATCAGGTCAGATAATTCATTTATATTTTATACTAATGTTTTAGTATAATTTGCTGGTCATGATCAAGTGAATAATAGTTTAGAACATTACAAAAATGCTTTCACTTCAGATGAAGCTTCAGTGTGAATATGGCCTAGAAAGGACTCTGTTTTTTTTTTACTTTCTAAGAGGCACTAAGAGTCTTGAYTATTGCAAGTGGCAGGCAACAAAAATAAATAAGCTCTTACTAATCCATAAATCACTTAAATGTGAAATAAAACAGAACAAGAAAAGAAAAAGAAACTATTTTCTCCGTCACAGTTCTTGGCACCATCTTGAGAGGTAATTGTATTCACAGGCAGCCTAAGCTGTTGATTGATTGAGTTTTATAAAAAAAAGTGGAATACTATCTAAATCAAAGTTTGCCTAGATTTAAGGCAAAATTTGAAAAAGATAATCCACTTTTTAATAGCATATTGATATACAGGATTTGTATTTATAACACTTAATCAATAACCAGCTTTGGCTACATGTACCTGGGCTTTACTTTGCACAAAAGCAAGACGGCCATCAAGGATAAAATGATTGATCTGCTTCTGAATAATTGCCATTGCCAGATATTCATTGGTCTTGCTCCAATGCAAAGATACAACCTATACTGACAAGATGGTGCAGTTTACTACTATGAATGGAATATTTGTCCTGCTAACAACCAATGGTTTTAACTTTAAGAACAAGAATGTTAGTTGACCTTTGTACATGTACACTATTTACACTCACTGCTCACTGCACTTTCAAAGTGATGTGGTAATATACAATAATATCTCTTCTCAATATGATAAATGGTTTCTCTGTGGTGAATGATGATACTTCACCACYGGAATCTCATCCCAAAGAAGAGAAACTCCAGTTGGAGAGAGTTTTTTAAAAGACAGCATTGAACACCTGATTGAAACATTGAAACATTTTTTGTGAAACTTCCAGACTAGTTTCACAACGCACTGCAACACAATGTAAGCAGGGTAATTTAGCCAAATCCTTCCTCAGATTTCAAAAGATCATTGAAAAGTAAAACTCCTTTGACTTTGTCTTGAAAACCATTTTCAAGGCAAACTTGAAGATAAGTTTCAGGATAAAGCTTCACAATGCCATTACATCATACTACAGTGGCTGGAAACCAAACTCACAATAACAGCAATCCTATTAAGTTTCACAAGAAAGTTTCACTGTGTAATGCTGCCATATGACAATAATATCAATTTGAATGCACTTTTAAAGAAAGATACACAACAAAGAAATCTTTGAGTTTCCTTGAAGTTTACACAACAAAATATGTACAAAATATGGATTAAGTCATTTTACAACAATGTATCAATTGTAAAAAAAAAAATTCAATAACTATCATCTTGCAAACCCTTGAACTATTCTTGATATTTGTAACAAAACTGGACCAGTGTCGGCATCACTTATATACAAATTACTGTTGTGGGGATTTTCAAGCATGTCTTCAAATGCTAAAAGAGAGAAAATATATGTCCGGTAAACATTATGTGACAGAGGTAATATCAGAAAACACTAGTTTTAAATGAAAATCACTATATTTTTATTTATCTTTTCATGAAATTGGGTAATAGCCTACCTGCAAGGACTCTAGGGTTGTACAAGCTAAGCTGAACCATCGGGTTTTCCATAATGGCCTTATAGATAGGACTTAAAAAATAAACAATTGGATTTTTTTAGGTCAGTAATGAGTTGGTGATGGTGGAGTGAGAGGTAAATGACATCATTCTAACAATAACAAATTACCTTTCTGGATCTAGACCATCATCAATGTTTTCTAGATTTCCTTTTTTGTCTCCCAAGAGCCACTCACACTAAAGTCAAAATTTACAAAACAAATTGAAAAATACTGGTAATACAGGAAACATTAATAAACAATTTTGCAGACTTATCAGAAAGATTTGAAAGCATTGAAATTTTATCAACATTTGCATAGACTTACAGCAGCTTCTTGGCTATTTCCAGTCACTTTTAAAGCTATTAGAATCTCCTCTTCTTGGAATCCCATTTCCTTGAGGTTTTCCACAGCCTTCAGTTTATAAATCAAATGTTAGAATGCTGTCAATAATTCAACATGGCAAAAAAAAACAACAACAAACAAACAAACAAAATCAACATAGCAAGAAATATTACAACGTGAATCCTTATTGTTCAACATTGGTAAAAAAAACCTTTGTCATCCTATGTACTCCAAAATTCAAATTAAATTTAATCACTGTAAACATCAAGTGAATAACTACACTATAACTTTGTAAGAAAGTTAGCAGTCTCACCCTAACATTAGGTGTAAATTCCTTTCTTTTCCGTCTTGTTCTGCTGTATTTATCTGTAGAGGGAGTAGCAGGTTCTTCTTGCTCMGGTTCTCCTTCATATTGAAGCAGCCATTCCATTGCAAGAAGTGGTGACATTCTAAATACAAACAGATTAATAGCTGTTATAATATTAGCGAAAAAACAACATCATAGTCTTATTTACAAACCTATGCAGTCGTAAGGCTTTCGTAGCTTTTGCTTCWGTGAATCCCATGTCAGTTAGTTTCCGTAACGTGTCCTAATGTGAAAATTATAGTTACTAGCAAATATTTGACAGTTTGAATTTAAACTTAGTTTACAGGAGTAAGAGCTTACTTTAGAGAAGAATCAAAACCACAGAATCACTAAAACTTAATGCATTACTTACAGGATCAACTGGGAAGTCAGCAGGCTCACTTTCTTCTGTTAAAAATACAAATAAACAAGTTAGTTAAAGTAAATTTATGATTAGAAAAGCTTGTTAACAAGATTACACAAATTTTCAACCATTTTTAACAGCAAAGCAATAATTGACTTCTCTAAGCAGTACACAATCACCCAAACAGTTGAAATGATAGACTCTATAACACCCTCCATAAGGTCATAGAATTGTACATAATTAATTTAATTTTTCTTTTTGCAGTTATCTACCAGACGTATCTTTAGCATTCATTTATAGGTTTAAACCAAACTCAAAATGATGTTTGAATCTTACATATTGCAATCACATGCACCAATAGATTGCAAAACAAAGCAAAATATATGAAAGATGTGAAATGGGATAGGATGGATGGGATAAAATAGATGAAAAGTCTTGAATTGTACCTTTACAATTCCCATYCTCACATTCATCCACAGACTGCAGGAGTAACGATGAGTCGATTAGCGATATTAAAATTCTTCTTAGCTCAGCATTGAACTGAAAATATCAAAAAAATAAAATAATATGGTAAAAAAAACAGACCATGGCACAATTTCCAGTAAAAAAATGCAACCACTTCCAATAAACATGCCACCATTTCCAGTAATTTAACATGCCACCATTTCCAGGAAAACAACCTATATTTGTTTGATGGTCAAACTATTTGTGATGCTATTATTTTCTCGACTTCATCATCTGACTCAACTGCATAAACTTACATCTACGGGAAGTCCAGATGATGATGCTGCAGCAGGTTCCTCTTTTTTTCTTGCTTCTAATTTCAAAGTCAGTCTTTGGATAGTTGCAATGTCTGGGACTTTAAATGGGACTCGTTTCTGCGCCTGAATATAAAGATAAAATGTTATTCAACTGGTAGGCATGCATCATCTATATTGTCTAAATAAATAAAAAGTTTGGGTTAAGTCAAGACAACTGCGTGGTTTAGCTAGTTATGTACTGAAACCACAGACTGGTTATAAATTACAAACTGGTTGGATAATAACCACAGATTGTTTTCCAACATAACTCAATTATATACTGACTGCAAATGATGGCCATCCTTGATTAATATCAAAACTTTCTTTATTTACGTAAAAATCTTCTTTATTTACGTAAAAATCCCAGTTCTTTCATTTTTAATGTTTGAATTAGGAAGATAACACAACTTAATAAGACTTAAGATTTCCTGAAACTCATACCAAAGATCAGAGCATTGTTGTAACAGCAAATTTATACACTGATCTGTTTTTAATGAATGAATTGAATTGTATGATAATGATGTTTGTCAACAGCTAAATATTGTGATGACAACAAGTATAAGATCTTTGTATAATTTAATACAGACTGTCCGTTATCATAATCTATGAATTTCTCTCATTGTCAAGTCAACAATGTTCTGGATGATATAATAAACAAACTTAGCATGCATGTTATCACCTCTTTGTTCAGTATCACAGCCTAACAACAAAGTGTTCTTTATATAGAATAAACAAAAGCTATAAATAATACATTGTATTCCAATTAATTAACTTTCTTTCMATGTAAAAATACATGTTTACTAACAAGTCGAAACTAATGTTGAAGTACAGTGTAAGCACTTCAAAATGCATCTCAGAAAGCTTGCATGTCTTGCARTATCAAGTATAACATCTCTCTTACATAAATCAAAAGTAGTTCCTAATAGATATAACAGAAGCWGATAACTAAGGAGGGATATGTGGTGTAATATCTTTGAAATCAAACATGTATTGAATATCAAAACAAGTTGACGTGTGCGACTCGCCTTGTCTTCGTTTGTTGTGTTTTGACGACGTTTCAGCAAAATCAGCTCATCTTAAATGAATAAAACAACATTATTTTARCGACATTGAGTCTATAAAAAACTATAAAAATATGCCATCCTACCATCTTCTTGTATTTCTTCTTCTTCTAATGTTTTTCCATCGTCCAAAATTCGATGGCATTTTGCAAGAACCATTTTGTATGATGTAGAATCTTTATGAAATTCCCCTCCTAAWGCTTTATCTTTCACGGTCGCTACTTTATCTTTGATCGATACATTCAAAGTAATGTCTTTCCCAGATGCGTTACATACACGTATACGTAAAAGATGTAACGATCTAAGTGACTTCAAGCCCTGGAGCTCGAAGTCTCTCATCTTTGCATCCAACTTTTCGGACGAATTTGCCCTCTGTTTTTTCAATCATGCGCAGAAAAGTCAACAATTGTGTTTACTACGCAATAGTTAATGACTYGTCGGAAAATATTCGTCCTCCGGACATTTACCGASGATCATCAAACAAGTCGATAWTTTTTCGAAGAAATTACGAATTATTCATATATGGAAGTTTCCGATGTACTGTCGATCGATACAAAGCCGATGTTTTGATGACACGCAGCTCTGATCACAAAGAGAAATCTTCTCGCGTCGATTTCTTCACAAAAACATTGAAATGTGATCGAAAATAATTGGGATCACCGAGGGAAACAGTTTAAAATTATCATMATGGCGGATAGTACACCAAACAGCGATGTTCCTAAGGGAATGCGTCTCGTTGTGCGGGCGTGGGGAGCTTTCTCGGCGCTATGTAAGTACGAAACCGGGTCTGACTCACCGGAACTCGTCGAAAACAACCTCAAAAKMGAGGCGCATAGCATCTTTATTTACAAATATCGCGACTATTTTTAATCMCAAAAACCTTTGTAAGAYATATGTSTCTTGGCTGCTTTGGTTTAAATTCGATGAAAKTCTGTGGCTGAATTGTACTTCTTGTAGCTCTTTSATTCATCATCACCTGTCAACATGGTAACTTCTACTCGCAGTGCAAGTTCGTTGACATTTTTACAGTTTGAGCTTAAAATTATTATTTGATCTTAGTTTATTCTGTATAAATATAGTCAGGAATGTTCCCTTATGTGTGAAGTATTCTCCGATTGCCATTTTACTTTTTCAAGAAGTAAGCTTAATCTTAGATTTTGCCAGCTGTCATTTGGGATAACAGTTCCTTTGTCTGTGATTAATTCACAACGAGCAGTAAGCTGATATAAGGRCGTTCAATTTGGAAAAATAAAAAGAACATTCATTGTTGATTAACCTCAATTTTATATAATGTTTTTCCATTAAATACGCTAAAGTAAACAATGGCGAATTCAAAAGACTATGTCGCAAAATGTAATATTTTGACAAAAAATGTTTGATATAAAAAAATTTGCATAAAATCTAATATAATATTTTTGAAACGTGTCACATTTTATTTCAATAGGTTGTGCAGCAATGGGGTTCTTCGTTTTATTTACTCTCTCAGCGAAGTGTTTTGGATCCGGATTGTTAATGATGTAAGATTTTTATTAGCCTTTTTGGTTTCTTTTATAGTGTAAATTTCTTATCATGATTAATATTTTATTGCCTAACCTTTTATTCTTTTCCAGATTTTTAGGTATTTTTGTAATGGCGTTTGAGGTACCAGCATGTTGTCAATATATGGGTTGGATGGTGACTATTAGCAACTGGGTTGAAAAATATTTTAAATTCTGGATGAGAGGKTGCCTCTACTTTGGGTCAGTACAGTATATTTATATTACTGTAGTAAGAATTATAAGACTTTGAAATAATATTGCTACATAAATTGTATTTATCTGATATCTTTCAATATTATTGAAAAACTTGTCAGATACAATACATGTAAAATAAAAATATGTCATATAATAATTTACCATGTAAATTTACTGAAAGTCTTCGTTATATTTACCAGAATTGGTCTAGCTCCAATAATAATGTGCCTACAAGTATCCACCTTTGTTGGCAGTGGTGCTGTTATAATTACCGCTGCTTTATATGGAGTACTGGCTATTGGAAGAAAGTATGTTGATCAAATTTCTAAGTCACTAAATTGTTGACAACTCACTAATATTGATATATGTCTAAAATAATTCCTCCTCCTCTCCCTGTTGGGAAAATAATTGTTTTCCTCACTGGGGTAGGGGTAGGGAACACTTCTACATAGGTTACAGTATTTATTTCATGATTTACTTATCTTTCAATAGGGGAGGTGCAGCTTCTCAAAACCAAGAAGGTGACGATGTTGAAATGAAGACAGGATTGGTTGACAAGAGTGGTAACCCTGCCACTACTCCCTAATAGGGAATAATATGAAATACAGTTAACTCTCTCTGCTTTAAATCAGCAATCAAGAACTCATGCRATGTTATCATGCATACTATATGTACAACTAAGCTTTTTCCTCTCTGCGCATCATTTGCTGTTACTGTATATCCTATCATTTACATCTTCAACTTTAATGGTGGTAGAGGGGAGAAGTGGTAATTTGAGGTATTATTCCCAGAAGTTCATGAAACCCACTAACRTATTTGCATTTCCTACCATTAACATGGCTGCCATGTCTTTGCTTGAGTGACTCTCTYCAGGAAACGATTGCATTGAAAACCATTGAGAATTAGGTGTAAGTAGTTGATGCAAAATCCAGGTTCAAGCACTTTTCAGCATGAGAGAGTTAACTGTATTAGACTATAAAGAGCTTTATTTTATGAAAAACAAGATTGAGCTGGTCCTGGGYACAAAATTAGACTTTCCTGGTTGAAAGAATTATGTTTAAAAACAGAAAGCTGGTTTGTCTTTCAAGGTTTAAGTTAAATTTACAGCAATCACAACCCATTCCTTTTTTGTGTCTTTGCCTTTTGTTCTGGTTAGTTTGCATTTTTTTCAGTTGTCTCAGTTGTTGTGCATGTAAATGAAATGGGGAAGGAAAATGTGATACATAATTGGTAGGGGTAGATGGAAATTTGGTAAAATGTGGAYCTTTTAGAGGCTTAGTGAAGTTTTGAAGGTCCGATCTTTACATTAAAGAAAGTTCAYGTGTATTGTCTGTAGAAAAAGAGGCTGCAACCCCTGTTGAAGAACCAAGCTCATAGAACAAAGTCCAAAAACAAAAAATATATTGATTCCATTCACATAAACTCAATGTACAAACCGCCAGAATTAAAGACTAATGTTTTTCAGCACCCCACACCACTAGCCTTCCACTTCAGCAAAAATCACTTTTTTCCTAATGACAACATTCACTTAGCTTATGAATGATTATTTTGAAATACATRAAGAGAAATAAGTTTGTTGTTAAAAGGCTGGCTTGATTGAGTACATACACATTGATTMAAGATATTATTATTATCATTTATATAGGAAATTCAGTGGGCATTATAGTTGTAGATATGGGGCAGAATAAATTTGAATGATGAATAAGCAGTAGTTTAATCTAACATTCTTTGTTTTCAAAAATGTTAAATACTTCAGGCGATATGTACAATAATAAGCACATTCTTTATTTACTCAATAATGTTCACCAATATATTTTTACAAACTCAACAAAGACCTGTTAGAAAATCTATTTAATATATATTAATAAGTATTTACTGTAAAGCCTAGCTTTCATACAATCATCATGATCAATGGAATCTGTTGCTCAAATTTCAGCCATCCTGATAATAATATCGAGACATCAGTACTCCAGCAATTGTGACAATTATATTGAAAGTGGCTCTCATTTATGGGCTGTAGAAATCTCTAATATTGTTTATTTGATAACTTTATTTTATTTTCATGGTGTGTCRCAGAAATATTTCAAAGGTAAAAAGAGGAAAGGGGTTGTTTCACATAATATTTATACAATGTAGTTGGAACTTATGGGAAAGTGAGGAATAAAATTATTTAAAATAAAAAAAAATGTGTAAATTTTAACCATTTCCCTGGCGCACAATATCCAAAAAGACAGGGGGGTTTCCTTAAAAAGTGTGAGGAATGCTTAAGAATTGGGTTTGAAAATGACTCTTTTAGAGTCTAACATAAGACTCTTTTAAAAAGAAACATAGGAAGTCTTATTTTTAAACCTAAAAGGTTTGTCAGGCAAGCCTTTGACTAGTTCCTTATAGCCGAAACTTCGAGTTTCATCAAAATATTTCCTCAGGAAGACCAACAAAAGTTCGCCAAAGAGACCACCCTAACAGTTGCAAGGGAGTCCCCTCTCCAGGACCTATACATTGACCATCTTCACAGTGTCCTTAAGGCACACTTTAAGCTTGATCGACTCTGGTAAAGGTAGTTTTCCAACTATATCATCAAGAGATTTTTTATGACCATGTACATCAAACAGAACCCTTCNTCCTGATTGGCTGTTCAAATCAGCTCCATTTTGAACAAGAACTTCAATGCATTCTGGGTGATTATGACGAGCTGAGAAGTGCAAWGGKGAGAGCTTCTCCCCCTGAGAACGAGATAGAGATTGTTGCTTCACRATTTCATTCACATCAGCTCCTTTGCATATTAAAATTTCAGCTGTTTTGGAGTGGCCATTCCTGGCTGCCAAATGGAGCGCTGACATTCCGTCTTTTGTGATTGMTTTGACATCAGCGCCATGGTTAATAAATAACACAACACACGCTAGGYTGTTRAAGCGTGAAGCTACGTGTAGAGGTGTTGTACTATTGAAGATAGTCTGATTCACAGAGGCGCCATATTGGAGAAGAAATTCTGCACATTCAACATGATTGTGGGCTGCTGCCACATGTAATGGCGTAACGCCGCCAGCAGTACAATTCACACTAACTCCAGCCTTACATAACTCTTGAGTTTCACTCAAACAACTCTTCCGAACAGCTTTGACTAGATCTTGTAAGCGAACGAAGCGTCCACTTCTTACTCTTTCGGACATATTTTTTGTTTACGACTTCTCCAATCCCCACCCCTCCCCTCTTAATTTTACCGCTGACTTTGTTTGCTGGCTCATAATCACAAATACAAGATGGTGGAAGGTTTGTATTGAATGATCTTTCAGCTTGTCTTTGAGTTTCTTCCATGTTTAAATGTTAAATCATTGTTTTTTTATAACTAAAATGATAGTTGATCCTTTGCTCATTTGTTTAGGAGACTCTAAAAGTAGTGGTAGCGGAGTTATCTTAAAATTTAAAGACGAAGAAACTTCGCCTGACAGCTTTTATGAATACCCTTCAAGCGTTCGAGATGGCAAAGTTCCACTTATCATTGATAATGGTATGCAATTCCTTTCCCACATAAAGCCTGCTTACTCTATTGTATATGTATTTGTTGCGATGGTACAGCTATCGAATAACCTACATGAAATCACCGCCATGTACCACAGGTATCCCAGTCAAGACAATAAAAAGTGTTATATTCTGTTATGGGTTACCTGTGGTTATCAAGTCAGCTGTATTCACCCATGCAATGAAGTGCTATCTTCATTTTTTGCCATTACAATTGTTTTTCAATTGTTTGTATATAGTAGATATCTGACTTCATAGTCTTCCTGTCACTCAACTCTATCTATACTTTAAGATATGCCTGGTACTGAATATATAAGTCTTTCTTAGTAGTTACCATCCAATTCTTGGGTTGCAACCACGTGACAAAAATTCATGACGTCATCACAAGACGCCATCTTGGATGACAACCACAATAACAAACATGGCGTCTAACACGAGTAGCGTTCATTTCTCTGAGTATTTTTCGAGTTTAGAAGCTTCTGCGAAGGCAAGATACAAAGAAAAAGTAAATATGTGTGGCTTTGATCCGTATTCCTTAAAATCATCGGAGTTTAAAGATGATTTTGCTGCATTGCCGCCAGTTGAATATCCAGACATTGTAAACTACCTTGTACTACAAACTTCATGGTTAACAAACAGTCAGATGAAGGCCTACAAGAGTCTAGAAGCTTATAATTTTTTTATATCTGGATGGGTCAGTAGTCTTTTGACGAAAGAAAGTGCCAATGAACGAGTAGTTGTGTTTGCAAGGGTAAGTAATCAAGTGAAATATCCGAGTTTTTGAGCTAGCTAAATTGACGAAATGACCAGGAAATGCTCATATCAGTTCAAGAACGTTTGATTGATATATTGTATCGTGATTTCTTTAGGTTAACCATTCTCAAAGAACTAGAGAACCTCCTCTCAAGACATGGTTTCTAGCAGAAAAAACTGGTGATGTCCTTCTTGGTCATTGCTCCTGCATGGCTGGACTAGGGGAAGCGTGTTCACATGTAGGAGCACTTCTATTCGCCTGTGAAACAGCGGTTAAAATGCGAAAATCCGTCACATGCACACAGGAAATCAGCAAATGGTTACCTTCACATGTCAAAAAAGTACCCTATCTTCCTGTCAGTGAAGTCAACTTCAGCTCAGCAAAGAGGCAATACAAAGACATTGAAGACAAAGAGAATGTCAACCCAAAAGCAGCCAAAAGGTTAATACCTACAACAACAGCAGCTGAAGAAGCAGCCTTTTTCAAAAACCTGTCACAGTGTAAAGTGAAATCAGCAGTACTATCACTTGTGCCTCCATATAATAAGAACTATAAGCCAAATSAACCAGAAGTTTCAAGTTTGAAGAGTCTCTACAAAGAGGATTGTGTCMAWTTAAGCTAYGAAGAATTGTTGAATGTCTGCAACGAAACTGAAATTTCCATCACTGAAAGAGACTGTAGAGTTATTGAACAGTCAACAAGGAAACAATCTGCATCCAAAGTCTGGTTTGAGCAAAGAAGTGGTCGTATAACTGCATCAAAGTTGAAATCTGCATGTCATACAGACCCAAATAAACCATCTAAGAGTCTTGTTAACTCTATTTGCTATCCTGAAGCTCATCAATTCAAATCATCTGCTACTAATTGGGGTTGCACTCATGAAAACATTGCTAGACAAGCATATGAAAGACAAATGTGTGCCTGTCATGAACACTTTGTAGTCAGCGATAGTGGCTTAAATATCAACAAGAACTGGCCTCATATGGGTGCATCTCCGGATGGCTTTGTAAATTGTGATTGTTGTGGCCGAGGTGCATGYGAAATCAARTGCCCATTTACTGCTAAAGACCAACTGTTATGTCATGCTGCGAAACAAAAGAACTTCTGTCTTGTTGAAGAGGATGGATCTTTGACTCTTAACAAGAGTCATGCATACTATTATCAAGTTCAGGCACAACTTTTTATTTGTGAACTTGATTATTGTGACTTTGTTGTTTGGACATTAGAGGATATTCATATTGAACGAATACTACCAGACCATTTATTTTGGAAAAATGCACTTGCTAAGGCTACTAAGCTATTCAGGATGGCTATTCTTCCTGAACTTGTTGGCAGGTGGTTTACGAGACCATCTGTCACAAACCATGAAATTGAAGAAATGTCTGATGAGGAAGGACCATGGTGTTATTGTCAAGAACATTTAGAGGGAAGTCAACTGATTGGATGTGACAACAAGGACTGTAAAATTGTTTGGTTTCACATGGACTGCTTAGGCATTGACAAAGCACCCAAGGGAGAATGGCAGTGCCCTTCTTGTAAAAAATAAGATACAGTATAACATTGTGCTAATTTATTTTTATGATTTACTTTTTTACACTAAAATAGAATAAGACTGGCCATGTAAATACACTGATAAATGTAAATAGCTGATTAATATTATGTATTTCTTATATTAATATGAACTTGTCTTGTTTTTAATCAATATGAAATCATTGCAAACATTAACCTATCAAATAAAGTGATGTGAGGTGATATAAAACCCTTTCAACATTATCATTATCAATGCTAGCTTTATATCTCATTAAAAACAATTCAAAAGCTAATTAAATGGTACAACTGATTCAGATAAATTTGTGAGTGCACAGCAAACTCTAGCAATTTTATCAATTGGTGCTTTCAATTGACCAGACTTCACAGTTACTAACTCTACAGGCAGTATACTTTGTAGAATCACATATTTTCTGCGGACCAGACCAATTACTCGTTCAACATGGATTCGTACATTTGCGATTTTTCTTGTGTCTTCTATTTCTTGAGCGGACAACTGCTTTTTTCCTCGTGTAAACGCTGGGATTTTTAATGAGGCTTGATACAGTCCCACACTTTCTGCAATATCAAAGCCCCTATCAGCAAGAACAAGGTCTCCAGGAATAAGGTTCTCTAAAATTCCACAATTGTCTGTGACATGCTTGTCACTGGCCCTGCCACCCCAAGCTTGAGAAATAAAGGATATCACTCCTTGTGGGGTTATCCCTATGAGGAATTTGACTGTGTTATGATGCTTGTAATTAGACCATGTGATTGCTCGTGCAATAAGACTTGRCGGTCTGTTGATGAAAACCTCAAAGCAATCAATTATTACTGCAACACGGCTGCCATAGTTCTGCTTGAAGCAAGCAGGCATAGTCTCAATCAATTCTTCCCTGCTTGGCCATACAATTAAAAATGCTAATCTGACATCCATAACATCTATCCACTTGTCAAAAATTCTAGATGCAGTGGATTGTGAGATATTAAATCTGTAGGCAATGTCTTGCAAAGACAAATTCAGTCTGACTCTCATAAGAGTAAGCAGCAGCTCTTGAAACTTTGTTAGAKAGTTTGTTGCTCCAGAATATATGTAGGGACAGCATAAAGTCAAAACATGTTGAAAAATTAGGAAATTAGGAATTCCAGTGWAGAATTTAGTTTTCTCGTCACTGTTTTGAAAGCTTTCTTCTCTAAAGTCAGCTTCCATTAGCTTTTTCTTGAGCTCTGMCAATTCACAAGTCATGCTTTCTATGCAGTCCTCCATTTCATTCAATCTCAAAACAGTGAAATCAGTCTGGCATTCAACATCTGCTTTCCCCAAAGTAGGATCAGTTTGGCATCCAACTTCATAGTTCTGAGAACTCTGATTGTCAAGTGATGCTTGCACAGATTTTTCAACTTCTTGTAACATTTTGGCTGCCTCGAGTTTTGCCTTTTTCGCAGCTCTTTCTTGTGATCTTTCACTTCTTGATATCTGCAAAGTAGTTTGCAGTTTTATTTTGTTGTGACCCATGCGTTGTGTGGGAGCCCAGTCAGGACTACTTTGATCGTAAAGTTTCGCTGGTTGCCCTAGAAACAAGTAAACACATTATCTTTAGTAACTTATGTCTTTCTTGATGCTTTAAAAATGCGGAAAACGTATATATCTTACCAGAAATAAAATGGTCACTGCAAACTCTAGTGTGTTCAGCCTTTTCTTCGTCAAGATCGGCACGTGAAATGTTGAGAAACCATTGCTTTCGCCGAGCAGTCGATAGCTTCTCATCTCTCTTGCTTGGATCGTTGTTTTTTATAATTTTTGGGATTCTGTAGAATTTTTTGTCTTTGTCCCGTGCGTTGTTGTTTCCACAGCCATAAACGGCACATAAAACACCCATTTTCGAATTAATATCATGTATTGCTGACAAGTTTTACAAAGATGAACGACGACAACTTCCTCACCGTGCGGCCGCCATCTTGGATGTGGTTATCATCCAACATGGCGGATCGTTAATTTGCATAACCCTGGTGACGTCACGTGCAACCCAAGAATACATAACGACATAACAAATTCCATAAAGTATTGCATTCCAAAGAGAAATGCCCATTGATAGCATCAAAAGTTAGTGATAATTAAATGATATCTTGAAGAATCATAACGAGAAATAATGGATTAATATAGATAAGATGCCAATTCCAGTGCATATTTAAGTCTTACAATGAATATGATACATTTAAAAAAATAACGTTAACATGTTCATCTCTTGTAGCTTTGATATCTCAATAACAACTTTTAAGATTTAAAAATCTTGAAAAGTCCATTTCTAAAATAAAGGAAAGTTTTGAGTGAAACTGTGCTGGTTGCCCTTCATTATTTTACTTATTCCCATTCTTTCAAATTGACTGAATTTTCTGTAACTCCTGAAAGAAAACAGTCAGGATGACCAAATTCATGAAGCTCAGTATATTTTTCAAAGGCTTTCAAAAAATGTCATTTTTACTGCAGCAAGTATTCTATTTCTTGATGTCGTCGTCACTTGCTTTTTTGCATTCACAAGCCGAGGGCGTGGCCTAGGACAAAACGTTGTCCATATTTGGTACAATCGACATTTATACATTCTGAAAAGACATGCGGTGACTATATTTTAGTGTATGATCTAATTAAAATGAAAAGGAAAAGCAAATTGACTAGCATGATAATTAGAAATGTACAAGATTATTGTCCAATTCGATCACGTATATGAGCTGGCCAACTCCAACGCATTTATCATGGCAAAACATTTTCTAGGCTCTTAGCACAGAGAACTAACACTTCAACTTGTATAGTGAAAGAAACRAGAAGAAATGGGAAATTGACTGGCATGATAAGAAATGGACCAAAAAAATGTCCAATTTGTATCATGTATTCCAGCCCATGCATAAGTATAGTTTACAACATGAGCGGCCGTGTTGTATGGGAATAAGGGCCTGCCGAAATAACCTCCTTCTAAGCACTATAACATTCCATTTTTTACATTCCATATGCTTGAACTATCAATTGAACTTGTATAGTGAACAAAATGATAGGAATAGGAAAATTGACTGACATCATGATCTGGAAATGGACAAGAATTAGTTTCTATTTGATTCAAGAGATTATAACCTGCAGTAATACTTACACTGTCAATTAAATAGAGAATTATTGGATGAGGTTTTCTGGATATCCAAAACAGTCTGAATTATAATTCAAAAGAAAAATAAGTCATCGACCAAAGTTTAATACTTTTATATGCAAAGTTGCAGCAGTTGAAAATAATAATAAATACTAATAATTATCTATATATCCACCCTCAGCTAGTAAATTAAAAACAGAAAATGAAATCAACAATAAGAAATATTGCACTATACTAAATGCTCTGCTTAAGTGACATTTTCAGAGAGCTCTTCTCCAATAATACTCAACTCTAATGTCTCTATTGACTATATGGCCCCACAKGATTAGTATCAAGAGTTATAAAGAATTTAGTGAAYTGAAAATATGGGAATAAATGAAATTAGTGACAAAACAAGGGGCAGCACTCACAAAAGACTATCACATCACTTTATTTGAGTAAAACACTGTAAGGGATTGCTTTGGAAGACTTACAATACATTTATCGTGGGTGCGACACATTTTAGTATAACATTTTAGTATAACAAAAGGAAGAGAAACCTGGAAAAGGTTTTTGCACTAATCAACCTTCTTTGCCTATTTTTGCATTAAACTAAGAAATTCTTCACACCTTTAACACTTGGGTTCACACTTCGACATCAGCATAAGAACAAAAGAAACTTTAGATAAAGGAATGAAGTCAAGCTTGCATCGACATAATTAAGCATAGCTATTAGGTAAAACATAAACCAAKTTTAATTTTAATTTGTCTTTAAAAATTAGACAAAGGAATAACCAAAGAAAAACACCTCTCTTTTGTCTTCTCAATCACTTTTAATCCCTAAATCTATTGTTTTTTTAGCTTATCCTTATATTCCACTGTGAACCATTGGCAAATAGGCTGACAGTCTTAAAAGTCAGGACCACCAAGACAGTTTAGAGTTATTTGGTTTGAACAGTACAATCTCAGTCTGAAAATTTAAATATATTAAGCTTAGTTAACTTAAAAACTTATTGCAACTGTAAATATTGTAACATGCATTTCTTTAGCGGCCAACCATGTTCAATGTAAAAACTGTGTGTTTTGAACAATACAAAATAACTTCTTATCATCTACAGATTTTAAGCTTATTGAAAGAATTCAAAGCAAAAGAATAGGAAAAGTGTCGGTCCTCTAATGCAAATGAGCTCAAAACAATGACTTTTGGTACGGTAATACATTTTGACCAAGGCAATATTAGGCTTTAATTAAAAAGCTTAAAATTCGATTACATGCAATCGATCTTTATACGAAACCTTCATTGGATGACCTTCATAACGATATTATTATATAAGATAAAATTAAAGCGATGGTAAATTCAAGCTTTTTTTAAGTTAAAACTATAATTCAAAAAATTAGTTATTTCGTCTTCTGCAATGATTTTATTGACCTAACTCTGAAACAAGTTTACCTCTGCTGTACAAATAAACTTTATAATTCCATTCATTGCCCCAATATTACCCTGGTAGAGCCCCTGGTACGGCCATTTTTGTTTAGGACAAAACTGCCACGGTATTTCGTTACCAGTCTGTTTAGTGGGAATCGTTGCAATATATCGAATGACTTGATTGGCTATAGAATGATGATACGTCATAGGACAGTCTCGCCACAGAGGACAGTTTCGCCACGGTGCACACGAAATGCACATGTAAGAAACTGAGAAGGATTGGGAACCACAAGTTATCCACAGGTATCCTGACGTTAGTGAGAAATTTTGCATAAAGAGACCTAGATTCTTCACTTTTTAGTTGGGCTACCCACAAGGGCCCGACTTAAGTTTCGTCAAATTAGAACTGTTCTACAAGAAAATTCAGACCCGAATCTCGGCCACTTGCACAGAACCAAACTAAACTGAGAAGACCGAAGGTTACTGGCGACATTTTGGAACACAGGGGGCCCAGGCTCAACAGTTGTGTTGCTTCACATAATAAATTAGTTTTCTTTCTCTATGCTAGCTTAAAACACTGAAAAGATTGTCAACCTCCCGCCCCANATTATGAACTCGCGGTGTCGAAGAACGAACCATGGGTTTGAACCTCGCATGAAATAAACTTTTGCTTTTCCTCTTTTGTTAACGGAAATATAGTCGTTTATATCATATTCACTTATTCCTGAATAAGTGAATATGATATGATATAAGAATCGATTGCAACTTCATTCCAACTTGACGGCTTCAAAATCCTTTTCCTATCCAAGACCAATTTTTGTGATTTTACATACTCTATCCCAAATTAAGGGTACAAAGGTACATAATTTTAGCGCTGAAAGCGTGGCCTAGCAGATACGATCACAGGCAAAACTCCACCCTACCCCAGACAATGAGACAATACCCTATCCTAGGCTACCCTATGCAAGACAAACTTGTGGACAAAAACTGATATCCTATCCCACACTGGAGCCCCGAAAAAGGGACACTGTCAAGCGGCACATAACCGTATAGCAAATATAGGGAAGTATCCCCATCCCCTCTCCGAGTCAGGATACTGCAACAAAGCACTAAAACGTCTTAAAGGCCAGCCTCTGTATAGTAAACGTCCATGCTGTTTTGCAAGAGTTAATGTTTTGTGAAAAATAATAGCCTGAGTATGTTGCTCCGCCCCGATTCCCTTCGAGAGAGCCTGAAACTCAGGCTAGAAAAATAACATACCAATACATCTTTCAAACTTTTGCGATCTTCTTAGTGATTTTTAGATGTTAGACCTTTAGGGTCTCGTTTCCATGATTTGTCACTGGTCCCACGATATTAGCGGTCGTTCACGACCGCCATTCCAAACGTAGAACTTTGATATGTAGAGTTTTGATGTACATCATTTCAGTCACTCTGACCCCCTCTGGCGACCATAATTCTTAGCGTGCCCCTTAGCGTTACCATGGAATGTTTAGGTGTGACGTAATTATGCGATAGGGCAATTCCTATCCGAAAACGGTACTATTCATATGTGGATGGAAAACTTTTAGAATGTGAAATTCTCGTTTTCACATTTATCTAGCATAGTATGGACGAGACAACTTAAGCTCCGTCCGCACTATGCTGGAAAAATCAGTCCACAGCTGCATTTAGCCGCACGGATACGAGGGACTCAAGTTTGTCACTCAAAATGCATAATATGCGCGGTATCAAGTACTTTTTCATGAATTGATGAAAAATAATGCACACAGTAATAAACCAAAACAAAAATGATAAAGATGATGCATGATAATGCTTGTAAACGCAAACTCTCTCAAAAGCGCAAACGCTTGTAAACATCAGCGTTCGTAACCCCCCAATGCTTACATACGATCTTAAAGTGCAACTGAACCCTATTTACAATGGATTTTTTCAAATTCTCTAGATGTTTTTAAACAACATGAAAAAAAAATTTTCGATTTGGTTGAATTCGCGATTTTTAAAAACAATTTGAAATTCGCGCTCTTTACGAATTCCGGGGTTCTTTTTGTTATTGGGGGCCTAGGYCCGAGTGACGTATACAAAGGAACCTTCGAATGCGGCGTCAATACAAACTCTATGAGGAATGCGAACGCGGGACTAAAGAAACTCCGTTTTTCTTAGTGAACTTATTGAATTTCATATATGAAACGATGTCACGGGATAGTTCTTCAGATTCTGAGAGTTCTTGTTCGTCCGTGTCGTCTTATTATGAAGAATCTGATGATTATAACGTCCAAGATGAACGCGATGAGCACAACGTGACAGATCGCCCGCGCCATAGCTTGTCAACCAGCTCTATTGTTGATGATGTAGACGAAGGAGCTTACCAAGATGAGCCCATTGCAAGTCCCGAGTGGGTAGAGGACTACAGCCAGAAACAAAAAGAAAAGAGTGAGCTGGAATCAGTTAAATAAGCGACTCTCTGGTGAAGTATCAGTTAGTAATTGGTGAGTAGCTGAGCAATCAAACGCTTGTATAGTACATGCGTGTACTTGAGAAAGACTATGT